GGGAGTCTGGCTCCCAGAGCCAGAGGGAATGCACAGGGGGCCCCCGCTGCTATGGCTCACAGGCACATCCTTGTTTTGAGACTCAGTTTCTGCATCTGTAAGATGGGGCTGAAGATGCTGAGGCCTGCCCTAGAGACCTAGGGCTGCGAGGTCTCCCTGTCCTGCACAGCTAAGCCCACGGGGGCGCACAGGCCGTCTGGACAGAGGGGCTCAGCACCCAGTCTCCAGGCCACTAGCCTCTGGGCCTCCCTGCCCTCATCATTCCCCCTTGGGGCTCTTCTGTGTTCTCCCTGTTGTGAACACAGTCCTTGGGACCCCCACCCTTCCAGTCGGGAGCTCGGGGGGCCAGGGCTCTGGGCGTGTGGACACAGCAGGAGGGATCTGAGCAAGGGAGGCCCCCACCCCTCCGTTACCCGGCTTGGGGGCTGGGGGTGGGGTGTGTTGCGCCCTCCCCCCCAACAAAAAAGAAAGAAAAGGGAACTCTGATAAAAGGCGATAGGCCTGTGTGGTGGAGGAACCCTATCGCCTCATCTATCTGCCTGCTCTCTCCGCGCCGGTCTGTTGTTCCCCTTATCTCAACCCACCAAAATGCCAGGAACAAAAGCGTGTGCACACTCACACTCACACCCGCGAGCCCACCAACCCGCAGTTCCCGGAGCCCCGGGAACATGATGCCACTAGATCTGCCCCAGGGGATTCGGGTCCCCTTAAAACCATCATCGTCCTCATCATTATTTTGCAAAGGAAGCCAAAAAATAGCCCTCCCTGAGGAGATGCAGCTCTAAATGAGAAGTTGCCCCCGATAGGCCCTCCCTGGAGGGAAGGAACCCAGCCTTGGGACGAGGGGCGAGGTCCCAACTGTGCTGCTGCGTCCCAGCTCTGTGACCTTGGGTCAGTATCTTTCCCCCTCTGAGTCACTCATCATGGGCGGGGTTGGGGGTGGGGGGGGGAGTCCGAGGATTTAACGGAGCTTTAGAGGAAAAGGAAGAGCATGTACTATAACCAAAGTCCTCCCCGTGTGGCAGGTGGCCATTTTGTGTCCCATACTTGGGTCTGGGGCAGGTCATCCAGAGCTTGGCACCCCCAGAACCTGCTCCTTCAGAGGCCAGAGCCGGGCCCCCCGGCTCCCAGCCCCCTCCAGTGCCCCTAGCCCGGCCCCCCGCAGAGCCCAGTGTACCCCCAGCCCACACCCCCCAGCGCCCCTAGCCCGGCCCCTCAAAGCCCAGCCCAGCCTAGCCCCGCAACAACTTCTCCCCAGGCCCCGCCCCCGCGGCCTGGGAATGAAGGTCCTAATCTCTATGCCGCCAATGGAAACGGACAGGCAAATGAGCGGGAGTGAGGCCTGGGGATTGGCTGAGCTCCATGTGAGGCGGGGCCTCTTCAGAGGGGGCGGGTCTCCTCTACGAGGAGCCCTTCGTTTAGGGAGTGGGGGACACTGTCTTGCCCGGACCTTGACCCCGTGATGGAAATCCCACCACCCCCCCCCCAGCTCTGGAAGGGCCAGCCTTTCCGGGGCCTTGCTGCTGGGCTCATCCGTTTGCCCAGGTGCCTGGGGACAGACAGTTTGGCCCTTGGATGATCTCTTGCTGACCCTCAGAGCCCAGACCCCCACAGCCTGAATTAGGGGACCAGGACTTGGGCGTTCCCAAGATCAGCCCCGGCAATTCTGACTCCCAGATGGAAACACTGAGTTCAAAAATGGGGCGGGGCAACTCAAGGCCGGCCAGCTCCCCCTCCCTGTGTCTGGAGCACCTCCACACTGTGCATGCTGTCCCCCCATCTCTGCCCCCCCCCCGCTATGATTTTTATCCAGAACCTCACACTGCCAGGCTCGCTGTAGCATCAGGCTGGGACGGGGCCATGGTACCATTTTAATGACTGAGAGTCCCGACCCATTTGCCAAACTTGCTTTCCTATCAGTAAAATGGGAGGGTCTGGTCTGTCTGTCTCCCAGGGCAATTTCTGTGCACTCTGATGGAGCACCGTCTGCTCCCTGGGCCTCAGTTTCCCCATCCACACAATGAGGGCTGAAACAGGAGTTTCTCAAGGGGTTCCTTAGTCTATCTGTGGCTGTGCTGTATTCTAGAAACAGGGTCTTTCAGATTTTCCATTTTCAGAAATTTATATAACAGGAGACCATGTCTGCAAGAGGTGTTCAAGAAACTTTGGGGGCTCAAAGTCACTCTGCACTCCACAGATTGTCTTGTCGGTGAGATGGGGGGCCCAGGTAGGCCCAGCTGGCCCAGAGCCTGGCCAGAGGCTCCCCTAGTTCCACAGCACCTGCAGGGCTCCATGACCCGAAAACCAGCCACAGGTGTGGGCGTTTTGCAAAAATGCATAAGTGGAAAATAGCAGAGGGGCAAGGAGGGAACAGGTTTGGGCTGAGATCTAAGGGATGGAAACAGGGAGGGGGTTGTCGGACCAGAACCAGACTGCTGCCATGTGACCTCAGCTGAGCGCCTTCACTCCCCCGCCCCAAAACAGGGTGACAGTGCCTCCCAGGGCATGGAGTAAGAGGGACTCAGCACTCAAGAATGAAAGGACAGCACCTAGGCCCCGTCCCCCGGGAGGGGTCCCCCAGCACCTGCCTCAGAGTCTCTCCAGTGCAGGGCATGTAGTAGGTGCTTGATAAGTACTCCCTCAGTTGATTTCAAAATCTCCCCACCCCAGCCCCTGTCCCAGGAAAGCAAAGCAAACCCACGGGAAAAAAGAAACTGAAAGACAAGTCAGTGCGTACAGTGAGCGCTGTCATGGACAGAGCCGTAGCGGCCCGGGAGCTGGGGTCATTACCCGCAGACAAGGAGGACCGGTCCCCTGCAGCAGGGCTCAGGCTCGCTTCCTTCAGGGCTGGGTGCCTGGAATAGGGACAGCAGGCTGACTTCTGGGTGTCCTTGTGTGTTCAGGCCTCCAAACTTGTCTGAGGCCCTGCTGTGCTTGGGGCCTCGTCCGGGATCCCCGTGACCCTCATGGGAGCTCGGTCCCTGCCCTCATAGCACCCAGGCTGCTGGGGAACAGAGAGAGAACACCAGAAATGAACCCTAAGGATGGAGGGGCCCCCTGGAGCTGGGGGACTGGGGTCGTGGAAGGCGAGGCGGCCACTCTGAAGCCAACGTTAAGGAGAGACAGATGGTGGGGTGTGTGTGTGTGTGGATAAGAGCCACCTGGCAGAGGGCACAGCAGAGGCAAAGCTCTGAGCAGGGAATGAGCTACCACGGTGGGGAGGAGGGAGGACAGCCCCTGCCACGCGCTGACCAGCTCAGTCAGGGCGCCGCCCCCAGGACAGGCACTCCCTTCCTGTGTGCCCTCAGCAGCCATGTCACAGGCAGGCCCAGGATGTGGGGTAGGACACAGGAAGTGTGGGGCTCCTCCCCTCCCTTCTCCTCCTCATGGACCAGACTTTTCCTCTCCACGTACTCTATCCCAGCCAGATGGGCTTGAGGAATCCAGATGCAAGCAGGGCCCTTGACCCGCCCAGGCTCATCTGCACCCTCAGGCCTGCGGCCAGAAGGTTTGGTTCCAAAGCTGTAATGTCCAGGGTCAAGGCCATGGGCTCTGGAGCCACACAGATTGGCTGCACATCCCAGCCCTGCCACTCACCGGGTCCCCTTGGGCCGGTCACTAAGACCCCCGAGTCTCGGCCCCCTCCTGAGAGATCAATAGGGCCAAGCGCTAACTGGCAGCAGAGGTTTGCCCAGGACCATTCATGGGACGGGTCAGTGCCTCTGGCCTCCCTCCAACCTCGCCACAGCCCCTAGCATCCCCCAGCCCGCCATCAATGCAGGCCCGGCCCCTGCAAGCCCTGCCTCAGTGTCCATGGCGAGCAGGCGGCCTGAGGTGGTGGAGAAGGCCACGTCACTGTGGAGGGCTGTGTGCACGGGTGGGAACGTGCGTCTCTGAATCCCCTAGGATGGGGACAGGCGCTTATGGAGTGGCACTGGGCTGCAGAAACTGTCCCCCTTGAGCACGAATCCCCCATGCTGTCCCCCACGTCTCTCCTTCCTTCCTTCCTCGGCCCCTGGCTACCTCTGCTCTGCTCTATAGAGACTTGGGGCTGATTTTCAACCCGCAGTTTTCAGTTGAGGAAACAGGCTTCAATGGGCACGGGGCCTGCCTGGCAGGGTTTGAGCCCAGGAGTGCCCCACTCCAGCTTCCCGGACCCTGTGGCTCTCTCTGGCCCCCATGGGGACAATGTGCCCACTGGGCCAGGAGGTGCAGGCTCAGCCCCGCATAGCCGCTGACTCCCCATGGCACCGGGAAGCCCCCTCCACACTCCGGGCGTCTCGGTTTCCCTATCTGTGCAGTGAGAGCTGAGTAGAGCGGCTGCTTGGGACCCGGCCACACCCAACAGGGAAAAAGGCTAGCCCAGAGGACCCGGCTTCTTCCTCCCTGCATGGCATTCCCCAGGGGTTGGAGACACAGCCCGGGTACTGGTCTGCCAGGCCTGGGTGTGCATCGTGCTCGTGACCCACAGAGCATCAGGACAGCCAGGCCTGGAGAAGGGGCCGTGGCGCTGTGGCGGGAATGCGGTCCTGAGCCCGGGGCCTGGCAGGGCCCAGAGCCGGCTCCTCGCTGCAGCGGGCATACCGCGGGGCCCAGTGTCGCAGGGAGAGCCAGCGCCGGCGGTGAGGAGGTGGTCTGCAGCCCAGAGGCCGTGTCCCCACCCCCTCCCCAGAGGGCAGGGAGGGTCCTGTCGCCCTGGAGCCCCGGCCCCTTCCGGGAAGCAGTCTGCCTGCATCCAGCTGACGCGTGGGCCCCGGCGACGACTCCATTAGCGCGGCCCCCGCTCGCATCCAGCAGCCCTTATCGGCCCATCTGCAGAATCAGTGCGCAGCCCCGCGGCGCCCCTCGGCGGGCGCTCCTTCCCTGGCCCCGCCCCCGGGCGGCCGTGCCCGCCTCCTCCCCCGGGCGTGCGGTGCTCTCTGCCCGGCCACGTGGTCCGCGCCCCGCCCCGCGGTGTCGGCGATCGGCGCTGGCTGCGGCAATCTCGGGTAATCTATCAGCGGCTATCGGGCCCATCGGAGGGCCGGGAGCGGCCAGGCCCAGAGATGGCGCCAACCCCTAGCGACGATAAAGTCTCCGAGTTCAGCGGTGATGAATGCCGAGTGAGTGCAGGCCGCGGATAGGATGTGGACTTGGCAGCCCGCAGCTCCGGCTGAAACCAATCTCTCGCTATCAGGCAGGCCGGGCTTTCCCAGGCCCGCTCCCCTTCTCTGCCTCGCCTGGCCCGGCCCCTGCCCCAGGGGACCGGGCCCCGGGGGTGGGGGGGGCAGGCTTGAGACAGGGGAGGATCCTGAGCCAGGCCAGCCAGGTGGCACCCAGCTGGGGGCTGCCTGAAGGTGGTGGCAGGCCTGGGTCTCCCACAGCCCAGCGCCCGCCACAGGACCCTGGGCAACGAGAGCCCTCTGCGTCTTCCCCACCCATCCTTAGCTGTCGGCAGGACCCCACCAAACACTCCCGCCCTTGGGACTTGGTCTGGCACTCCCCTCTGCCTGGGGCATTCTTTGCAATCACAGTGTAAGCAGTGCCTCCCCTGAGAAGCCCTCGCTGCCCACCCCCAGGCCAGTCTGCATCTGTACCCCGTCCTTGCGCATCACGGTGTCTGGGGGCTGTGTCCTGCCCCGCTCGGCACCCGTGTGCTCACAGCTGACCCAGCCCATGGTGGGCACCAGGAGCCTGGTGGAAGAAATCCCACTGCACCTGCGGATGAGCCACATTGGGAGGGGTCTTTACCTCCTGCAAAGCCCTCTCTCGCCCCCCCCCACACACACACACCCCACCTCTGTGGGGTTGGCGGGTCAGTCCCCGTGTGTCACGTGCATAAACTAGGGCCTGGGCAGGGCCCCCAGGCTGAGCGCCATGGGCCTCGCGGCCCCGGAGGCCTCTGCTCTGCCCTGCCCTGCCCTGCGTGGCCATGCCAGCCCTGCCCACAGACCTCTGATGGGGCAGGTGGGGGCTGCGGTGGCTGTTCTCTGCCTGTTTCTCCTCCCCCGCTCGGTGGAGCCGGTTTCCCTACAGGCTGGTGCTGATGGGGGTCCTGGTGGAACTCTATAAACTGTCGAGGGCTGTGCACACGTGTCCCGGGGATCGGAGCGGGAGAGGGCCCCGGGTGCCAGGCCTTTCACAACCCCGCTGATGCCCCTCCCCCACAGCGGAGAGGCAGATGGCCATGCCCACGTGGCAGGGAGGGAGGGGTGTGCCAGCCTGGGCCACCAAGCGCAGAGCTGCCAGAGCCTGGGTCCTGGCCTTGGGGAAGAGAGTCTGAGGGGGGCCAGAGAGCGGTCACACAGCAACCAGGCAGGGAGTTGACGGGAAAGGAGTGAGAAAGGCAGGCAGGGCTTCTCTGAGCTACAGTGTTGCAGAGCCAGGAAGGGAAACTGAGTCCTGGTGAGGGGAGCCACACAGACCTGGGTCCGGATCCCCCCAGCAGACCCCCCCACCTCTATAAACAGAGGGCGGGTGAGACCTCGAGGGGAACGCAGGGCTCAGGAAGGGGAGCAGGCCGGCCCCCTGTCCGCTGTCCTAGCTGTGAGACCTTGGGCACGTATCTTTACCTCCCTGTGCCTGTCCCCCATCCACGTGGCTCTGCCCCCAGAACCAGGCCCATTTCTTCTGCCCGGTTGCCCTGAGAGGCCTTGAGGGCAGCGTGTGCAGGGGGTGCCAGGCTTAGCCTGGGCCCCTGCTGGGCGTGGCCGTGGGGCTGGGGCAGTTAAGCCCCCCAAGTTCCGCCTGTCGGTTATAGGGCTGGCCACAGGAGGAAGTGGTGTTGGCTGGGGCTGGGATCTGGATGCAGGACCGCCCCGGGTGTCAGCACCCTGTCTCCCTTCATCTCACGTCTCCCAGCCTGGAGTCCCTAGAGACCCCGGGCGGGGCCGGCCTGGCCTGTGCTCTGCCCGCTGCGAGAGGGGGCACGCCTCTGACCCCCCAGCCCCAACAAGAGGGCTCAGACTCCAAGGTTCCCCGCTGGCCGGGCCCTCCGCCTCCCCTGGCCCGTGGGTACTGGTACTCACTGAGCACCTACTGTGTGCCCAGTGCTGCCCCAGGGCACAGCCAGTGAGCACACCAATCAAGTGAACACCCTGTGGGCATCTGGGCGGCGGTGGGGTTGGCCAGAGCCAGGCAGGGGTCGGAGCTCAGGCCAGGACGGCCCCTCCCGGAGCGAGATGGGTGCTGGTGTGGGCCGTGGTGGGCCGTGTGGCTTACACTGGGAGAAAGAGGGAGCTGGGGAGGCAGATGAGCGGAGGAGCGCAGGTGGAGGGGTGGAGGCGTGTGTCAGGAGATGGGTGTGTCCTTAGCATCCATGCTGAAGGCCCCAAAGGAAGGAGCTGGGGAAGCTGACTGGCTGGGTACGGGGAGGGTGAGGCCTGGAAGAGGGGCTGGCCGCAGGGTGAGAGGTGCCCGAGGCCCGGGAGGTGGTCCTCCCACTGCTCTTGGTTACAGCGGCCCCCAGGCGACTCGGGGACACAGGGATGCGTTTGTTGGCCCTCCCCCCTTCACCTGCCTGCCGTCCGTCCAGGGGAGGGTTTTATTTTGTCCTGGGCACTGCACAGTGAGTTCTGGTCATAGAGCCCTTCAGAGGGGGCGTGGGGAGGAGCGCTGGGAGGCGCCCCACACAGCTGGGTCCGCGGGGGTCGGAGGGGGTGGGCACTCCTGTAAAGAGCCCCGGATTCTGACCGGCTCCCGGAAAGCTTGGGGGGGAGTAGGTGAAGATCCGCACCGGAACGGCCCACATGGGCCCTGGTTGCACAGGACCGTGCCCATCTTTCAGTAAACGCTGCTTTGAAAGCCGAACCACCCTTAAAAGGATGAATCTTACTGCATAGAAATTATGTCTCAATAAAATCCTTCCAGTGTGTTCAAAGCTGAAGGAGGTCATACCACTCTTGTTCCTTAGACTCGGTCCGTGCTCCCGAGAGCGTGGGGCCCTGCTTGGCACCGTGGTCAGCACTCCACGTTCTTTCTCGATGCAGAGGGCACCTCCTTGCCCTCAGCCGGCCCCGAGTGTGTCGCGACGACGGCTGGCCACCCTCCTGCAGCCTGGCTTACCTTGGACGGCACCCCCGCCCCACCAAGTGTGGCCTGAGTGCTTGCCGGCCTCACCGAGGCCACGGGTGTCGGGGTCTGGCTCATAGACGGGAGAGCCGACGAATCGACAGTCAGTTGTACTCAGCCCTGATGGAGACCCCCCAAGGTGGCGGTGGGGGGCAAGGCTGAGAAGCAGCGGGTCTAGAACCCAGATGTCTGGAAGAGGAGTAGTGAGCTTCCCCCTGCAGAGTGCATGTGAGTACCATCAGACTGACGGTTGGTGGAAAGGTGGAGAGACCGGCTGCCCAGCCCCCCGCCCCTGCCGCCGCGGCCCACTCCGGGAGTCGGGGGGCAGAGCCAGTGTGGAAGGGTACCTGGGCGCGGGCAAAGGTTCAGATGCCTCCTCTCCCCTCTGAGCCAGGGTGCCCGCGCAAGTAAGCCAAGATTATCTCACCAACATCCTCTTGTGGTCGCCCCAAGCTGTCAGTGGGGACTGACCTTGGGTTGAAGAAGCCGCTGGTGGGGCCACAGCGGAGGCCTATGGGCCCCTCCCAGCCCTAGCCCCTCGAGGCTCCTGGGGCAGGAGGGCAGCACCGACGGCCAGCTTCCCTCCCCACTGCGGGAGAATAGACCACCTGCAGATACGCAGAAGGCTCCAGGAAGGCCCAGGCTGTGTGGGAAGATCCTGCTGAGGGCCAAGGAGGCCTTCACCAGGCAGAGGGGGCAGCGTGGTGAAGGCCCCATGGCTGGCGGGGGCGGGCAGACGTCGGTGGCTTCAGGCCGTGGTGGGCTGAGGATCGGGGGTGACATGGACCCTCCAGGAGAGCCGGGCTCCACGCAATGTCTGCACTGGGCCTCCCCAGAGCTCCAGCTCCCTCCCGTGGGTGCCTGCACCCCTCCCGGGGAGCCCCCACCCCTTTGGGGCTGTAAGCGCCCAGGAGGCAGTGGGCCAGGACCCTGCCTCGGTTCTAAACGTTAGAGAAGCTTCGAAGCTCTCCAGTGAATGGACTCCTCCCCCCAGGCCTTTGCAGCTCCCAGTGGGGGCCTAGACCCTGCCCCTCGCCCCCCACTGCCACCTGTGCCCACCCATCGCCCTCCACGCCCCTTTGCCGTCGTGCCCTTCTACCCATCGGTGGCACAAGCCCGACCTCACGGGCCCCGAACTGTCTGGGGCTGCTGTGCGCTGGGCCCTGGGGCTCTGGGGTCGGGCAACACCGTTGCCCTCAGCAGCGCCCCATACACTGGGCTGCCCCCCGCTCCTCCTGGGCTTGCCCCGCCCCCAGCCCTGCTCAGCAGCCCCTTCTTCCAGCTTGCTTCTCTCCACCCACCTGGGCCTGGGAATCAGCTCAGCTGCTTGTCAGGACTGTGAGTAAAGCACGAGTCGCTGGGCCCTGAGGGCCTTGGCAGCCTTGGCAGCCAGCGGCTGCAGGCTGGGGGTGCAGCTAACAGGCCAGGGCTGGGCCAGAGCGGCCAGCTGCCCCTGCGTCCTGTGCCTCAGCGTCCTTGTCCAGCAGACACCAGCTGAGTTAGAGACCCTCCTCCCCGGGGGTCCTGCTGGCCGGGGCCCACAGGAGTGCCTCCCCAGGGGTCACACTGCCTGCTGCCAGCAGGTTGGCTTTTAGACCCAGCCCTGTGTGCTTGGGGGACCCGGGCCCCTGGGGTGGCTGCCCACGGCCCCCAGGCACCCAGGGCTCCCCTAGCGAGGCCCCCTAAGGGGGAGCAGGGCTGCCCCACTGTGGCCTGAGCTGCCCCACAGCCCCCCCCCCCTCCCCGGTGGGAAAGTCTAAATCTGTTGCACTTTTCCCTCTGTTATCAGGGCCTTATCTGGCCACCGTGCGCCGCCCAGAGGCCAGGGTCTCTCTCCTGGCAGCCCCGCGCCCCCACCCACCCCAGGCCCAGTGCCGCCAGCCTGCCCACCACTGCCAGGCCCAGCGAGACCAGAAGCCAAGGCCTTCTGCCAGCGCTGTACCCCCCGCCAGGCCTCAACCCCGTCCACCAACGTGCCACCCCCAGAAGGCAGGTGTGGCACCCCCTGGAGAGCTGAGACTGTAACAGTTGTAATAATAACCTGTCTGTGCTC